GCACACACATACATACATACACGCACACACACACACACACACACACACACACACACACACAGCATAGCAGTATTACATACTGGAGCAACAGCAGAGGATGGCAGAGCATACCCATCACAAAAGTACCCAATACAAGGATGCACCTGGTAAGTACCCACTCACTACCCAGGGACTATTGTCCAGACACAATACATAGTCTTGACGAGATGCTTGGGTTCAAAGGCAACCCAGTTTGCCAGCTGGGCCACTGCCGTTACCACCTGCTGCACCTACTGCCCCTGAAACACACAAACTTAGTGCTGTGTGTACCGGTATGTATGTAAGTAGATAGAAAAGTATAATTATGCTGATGAGGCCTTTATGGCCGAAACAGCTTGCTGTCTACAGCATTGGGTATTACGCTCCTCGGCTTTTGTCTTGTTGAGCACTCTCAGTAGGCTGCTCTAGTGCTACTGCATCTCGCAATGCCCGCTACTTTTTGTAGTTTGAGCACTCTGGCGCTAGAGCGACGAGCTAGCTTAATTGTCTGTGGTGCCTCCTTTGCCCCATGGCTGGTAGCTCGGCCTACTTAGCTCGTAGCTGTACTGATGAGGCCTTTTTGGCCGAAACAGCTTGCTGCCTACAGCATTGGGTATGCCTGCATGCATGTATGATTTCCAATAGCCACTCTGGTTATAATGGCACTAGATGCGTCAGTAGACGGCAGCAGGAGAGACAAAAAAATGTTCATTCAAAATATGCTGCCGACTATAAGTCTACAAATTGTCGTCACGTTTTTAAAATTTCAGCCTCCCAGGGCCAAACACACACACTTCGGCCGCGCGCATTAGAATTTCAGCCTGCCCTGCTGCTGCCTGTATACACTGTCACACTGAGCCTTGCAACACAGAAGTTCAGCCGTAACAAATTTTAGGCCAAAAAGCCCAGGCCGAAAATAAATATGCGGCAAATAATTATGTGTTGACTTTACAGTATACCTACAGTGACCAGAAAGCCAGTGAGTTCATACAATACAAAAATGATAATTCCGTTCAAATACATCCTAAGAGTACATGTATTGCCCGCATACCTGGTTATGTAAAGCGTTGAAACCACTCACAAACATGATGACAATACAGCGCACAGTGCTGAAGAAGCATGTCAGACATACCTGTGTGCACAGTGGAGAACAGCAGAGAACATCAGGATAACACTGTCCACACACAGGCAAGTACCACACTGAACAGAATCCTCACTTGCAAGGGCAGGGCATGGAGATGAGAAGAGTGACAACCTCACTACAGTGTCAATGGCATATCATGCCAGTTCTAGCACCAGTGGACACAATATTTCATTCATGCCCAACCAAATGCTGAGCATTGCCTGTAGACGCTGCTTCACCAAGCCAATAGTATACAAGCACTGTACAGTGTACATGCAACATCATCGCGGCAGTGTGAGTTCAATACACATGTAACTGAGTCATGCAGCATGCAGTGTGGGTTCAATACACATGTAACTGCCTAGGGCATACATGTATCTGCAGCACTGTACACTGTACACTGTACAGCACTGCAGCATCACACTACAGTACTGTCATGTGCCGGAAGAGCTGAGGATCAGCCTCCTACTAGTCCTAGCCTAGGCCGTTCTTATGTTCATGTACTACAGTCTATGCACAGTTGAGGCACCGTGTATGCATTGGTATGCTGTGCTGTGCATGGTGAAATCCTAGCCTGGTCGTTCTTCGGCACTACCCGCCAGTACTGTATAGTATTTGTTGTCCAAGACTGAGAATGCAACACTGGTGTCAGTGTCACACAAGCATTGCCAGTGCCACAGCAGACTAGTGCTTAGCCAGTGCCACAGCAGACTAGTGCTTAGCCAGTGCCACAGCAGACTAGTGACGTGTCAGTGCCACAGCAGACTAGTGCATGTGACAGGGCTAGTGTCACACACATGCAGGACACGCATGGAGGTGGGTGTCGGTCAGTACACACACACACACACACACACACATACACACACACACACACACACATACACACACACACACACACACACACACATACACACACCCAAACACACACACACACACACACCCACACAAACACAAGCACCCCCACACACACACACACAGATGCAAGTCACAACAAAAAAACGTCATCAAAATTTAATAACTGCTCTCTAGTCTGTGATGAAATTCTCATTGCAGTAAATGATATGTTGTGTGAGAAGCCTAACACAACATACTATGCACACGAGAGCCTAACCCATCCTGGTCAACAATAGAGTGGCAGCTGGCAAACGCCAGATACAGTCAGACCTCGCTTATCCGGTCCTCTTTTATCCGGATCCCTCGCCATCCGGCAGAAAATCGTCGGTTACCGATTTACAGCATACGCCATGCATACATACACTATGTGTGTTCGATTGTCCGGTTCCCTCGCCAATCCGGATATTTTTTTGTGGACAACGGATGTGTGCGTTTAAGCGAGGTCTGCCTGTGCTACACTACACTACACTACACTACTGCTGTATGTCCACTGAAGTGTTGGACATGTACAGTGAAACATGTCTAAGGCGACCGCTCAAGGGACCTTCAAAAATCTGGTCTCTGCCACCAGGTGGTCTCCTTATCCAGGGTCATTTGACTGGAAATTGCATCCCTTGGTCCTGGTTCCAGTGGTCCTCTGGGACAGGTGGTCGCCTTATCCGAGTGGTCGCCTTTACAGGTTTTACTGTAATCCAAAGATCAGTTGATCATACTTACCAGGATGTAGAACGTAGTCACAATAGGACTGGACAGTTTGCGTAGGATGCCGATTGATCGACGTGCGCTCAGCAGAAGCAGCAGAAAGACAACGGCGTTGGGCACCAGCAGGAATATGTCCCACGGTACAACACTGAACGATGTCGGCGAGTTTGAGAGAGAAAAAAGAGGGAACATAGCAAAACACAACACAGCATACACGACACAGGCACACACGCACGCGCACACAGACACACACGCACATCATGAAGCGGCACCACCAAGGCAGCCCAAGTTACGATTCTGCAGATCTCGCAGACGTGATTCCTCTCCGAATAACTGCAGATCCAAGGGCACTGGACTTGTTACGGTGTCTACTACAGTGTTGACCGTACCATTCTTTGACCCAGGTACAACTTGACCCCTCCCTCCCCCTCCCCCTCCCCCTCCCCCCCCCCCCCCCTCTATGAATCAACAACAATACATGAGCTAATTTCGGCTCAAACATTTCGAAATTTCGCGTACATGTAATCAGGACTGGTAATCAAATGAACCCACTGTTTTAGCCCGAATACCATGACCGGTGGCGGTGGTGGACATGCACCCAGACGTGACTGACTGAGAAATAGAGCTACAGTACAGACTGCACTCTGTAGCACCATACAGCATACTGTCAGTGTCAGTGTGTCACCAGGTCACTGGGATCGACAACAAACCATGATGCAGGAAACAGCACAACAATCTGCTACTTCAACAATCTGACACCATGCAGCTACGAGCATACTACTAGTACAGCTGTAGTTGAAGAGGTCTGAACTCAGCTTCCGCTGTTCTCATCTACGAGCGCCAGGAATCATTTGAAAACACTTTGAAAATGACTCGTTTGTTGTTTTCACGACACCACAAAAGCACGAAGGTACTCACTAGGTGTTTCCGATAAACTTCACCAATATCCAGAGGCAAGGCGTAAGCGGGTATATTGGGCCAATGGGAACCGCAGTCAGCGGTCCGGTTGTTGTATTGTAATCCTCTTCCGTGGTGGTATGATTGGCAGGTTCAAGCGCTGTGATATTACTGTCTGGTGGAGTGGAAACGCTTGGAACATTCGCCCACTCCGCTTGGGACATGATCTCTGCGACTGGCCAAGAACAACATCTATGCTTTCACAGATGCCACTTTCGCCTTCGCTTCTTCCACTTCAACTAGAACACGACGGCAAGACGAGCGCGAGAATTGCTGAGAATCTCTGTTACTCAGTGTATTTTGAATGACTCTCATCGGCATTTCAAACAGGCCAAGTACGCAAGGCATGCATATCACTGCTCGTACTGTCACGTCGTCACGTCACAAGCATGAAGTCATGCACTGACTTTGTGTAGACTGTGTGTTGCAGCGCGTATTGGCGTAGATCTACTTACTGCTCACTGGCAGCTAGCTCCTGAGCTGAGTCCTGTGCCTGTGTGTGTGTGCCATGGCATGGGCATGGGGTGCTCCGCCAGTGCAGCGGTGCATGTAAGGTCACGTCAGGCCATGACTCCATGAGGAGTGAGGAATGTCAGGAATCATAACAGGATCAGACGTTCAGATTCATGAAAATCATGAAACTCCATCATTGTCACAGTGAAGACGTGTACAATGTCATGTCCATGTATATGTTTCAAAAATTCATTCAAACCCGCAAGACTGTACATGCCATGATTGTACATCATTGAACTAAATAAACCAGGCATACCGTGGCACTCAATTTTGTCTGGTCCAAATCAGCCTCTCCCCCCTGTTCTTCACCACTCAGCACTGCACAGTACTGAATATCCAAGAGACTGAGTGGACCGTGCGGCTTCAGTGACGGTACGGCACATGATGTACGCTCGAGCGCTCTTGAGTTGGCCATGCGTACAAACCAGCGGCTACAAGTTCTTTCATGACAGGTGACCGTTGCCCAGGCCATAGCCAATAGGCAGCCCGAGTTCCCGCCGCAGGAACAGGCCATCAAGGCAGGACCGTCTAGCGTCATTTCGGGAATAATTCGACCTTTGACCTTTCCTACTCATGATGTTGTAAGACTGAGTCAAATGAAGCATGATCAGGACTCGGTCCGATGATGATGCAGGGAATAATTTACTTTCCATTTTTTGCATAGCAATTTTGCTACACATAATCAAACTTGAATAGCAATTCGAACATCTTGCGTAGCAGTTTTCTTCGACACTTGACAACATTGTCCTTCTGCAGAGCTGATCAGAGTGCAAGCTCAGAGCTCAGACCACAAGTACATGTACACTGTAACACCTTAGTTGCAAACCTAACCGGGTGCCACGATGCATAGCTCAACACTTTCGAAGCTTTATGCATCTGTTTCATCCCTAGAGACACACCCGGCACGCACACTGTGCATCATACTGTCGTGGACATGGAAATCCGGTCGCACGTCTAGCGGCCCCAGGACACTGACCATGCAGCCGTGGATAAGCGATACACACATGCATTTATGCGCTGTAGCGCGCTGGTCGCATCGGATTAACACACGCAGCGTTCTGTACGCGCTGAGGGCGCCGGCCCCGGTCAATCGACTGGATTTCCATGTCCACAACAGTAGGATACAGTGGAAAATCAACATGTATCGCAGTTTCATGCGCCACATTTCTGAAGTTGCTTCGCACCTCAGAAGAATTGCGTAGCAAACTGCGATGCGATACCGGTTAAATTATTCCCTGTGATGGCTGATGATCTTGCCGGGCCGAGCCTGCCCGGCTCACTCCGGCACAGGTCACGGGGTCAAACATGTGTGCTTCAGCTCCTAGCACTGCCGATGTACACCCGCCATGACGGGACTACAAGCACACTGAAGCCTGAAGGGCTATCATTGCGCTGTACTACCGGGGTGCATTGCTGCAAGCTCCACGCCTGATCTCAGTGACCTCATCACTATCCACAGGGTGATCTCACACAATCCGTCACCGCGGCAATCTCATACAGTCTCACACAAAACGGCACACAATCTCATACATTCTCATACAGTTTTCTGCCGGGTCTGCCCCTCAGGATGCATGCCCCCTACACTAGGCACTGTGGATCCTGCCTGCGAATCATTTTACCATTGTACTTCAAAGTAGTGAAATCCTCCTCGGTGTACTGAGCGTAGCCGTCCGCATCTCAGTCAGGAACTGACCAGCAAAGCTACCCTCGCTGTGCCTAAGGCCTGCCGTACTCTGCATGTGCTGTCGTGGACATCGGGAAATCCGGTCGGATGACCGGGGCCGGTGCTCTCAGTACCTACAGAACGTTGCAAGTGTGTACCGTATTAGTACTCACGGCTGCACGGCTAGTGCCCTGGGGTCGCTTGACTCGCCTCCGACCGGATTTCCATGTCCACGACAGTATGTCGACAATGCACCCCGCCCGGCAAGAGTGCATAAACAGGAGTAGGCAACTGTAGTTATGGCCCAGCGCGCGGCGCGCTGCCTTCATTACATAACTTGCTTTCATCACGCTCTGGAAGCATGCAATCAAACTCACAATTTCTCGTACGAGCTCATCGGGCCGTTTTTGCTCGATTCGTTCCAGTACGTACGCGATCTCTAAATTTTGGCGAGTGAACTCCAGTTCCGTACGAAAGTTCATTTCAAACCAGAGGGAAAGTGCGGTGTTTGATTTTCCGCAGTGCGCGGAGCCGCGGACTGCAGCTGAATGATGTAATGAAGGCAGCGCGCCGGCATCTGGCCCATAGAAAAGAGATCACAGTTGCATACTCTTGTTTTTGGACCCTTGATCCCGCCCGTCTATTGCAGCCTTGGACCGTGAGCGACTCTCTCATCCGCATACAGTTGTGCGGTGTTTGCCGGGCCGAAGAAAGTATAAACATGGGAAAATCACACGCCAAGTTTCACCGGGCGGCCGTGATCTTCCACTCGTATATCCAGGGAGTCCCTACACTCATGTATGGCATAAACATGGCTGGTCACAAACGGTGCACCGGTGAAACACCAATCAATCATAATACGGAGGCTTAGCATCACAAATTTTGCATTCGAGTTAGCCTACATTTTCGGCTTGCGACTCTGAACTGGAATGCGAAGTTTCGCATCGTTACGTTCGGAAAAGCAGCTGAAACACGAATCAAAGTCTCATGCCAGGACAGTAATAAATTTACTACGCTGAACAACGTTGCACTATGTATGACCATGGGACTATGTATGACCTGCGCAAATTCTGCCTGATTTTTTCTGTAAACAATGCGGGTTTCGTCCCTGTGTTCGACTTTCATTGAAGTGCGAACTCGAGCATGGATTTCGTCTTGCTAAACCTTCGTAAATGTCATTTTGATGATGCTGCTGATGTTTTTGCATGCGAGTACTCACCTGCTCAGCTGCCAGTCCTGTACTGCTGCTCAGCCTCACAACACCTGAGGCTGCTGCTCATGGTGAAATCAGATCACTGTCGACATGTCATTGGCTGATTTGGCCTGGATCATCTACCATCATCCAATTTGGGAGCAAAGGGTCAATGCAGCTTGTCAGTCACCCCTGTACAGATTGACAGGTACTAGGTATAAGCAGAGTGCTTTGGCACATAGTGATAGGACTTCAGCATTGGCATCAATTTTGGCAGGTAGTTCAGGCTGGAGAACATTCACGTGCACAAACGGACCTAGGGAGCTGTTGTCAAATGTCAAGAATTTGCGGAGACCGCTACAGCAGTGCAGCAGCACAGTACAATGGCAAGGCACCATACCAATACGAATCTCGTGATACTTCCATACGACGATAGTCGACAGGGCGATGCGAAGCGCTGAATGTGTGGGGTCCTTGGCTTGGGCCAACTAATACTTAGGCCTGCACACCCGTCATCGAATACCTGGATACGCAGCTCGTAGGTCTACCATAATGGTCCGCCCTTCATTTTTGTACAACTACTAGCTGGCGTTTCCCATCGCCAGTATCACCTTGACTTCTTCACAACAACATGATAATGCCAATGATACGAAGTAGTTTCCCCACTCTCATTCGGCTGCACCAGGCCAGCGATCTGCAAGGCCCTCCTGCTGCTGGCGTTTCACAATCAAAGAATTGCAGTAGACACCACTTTCATCACTACGGCCCGGTCTGCATCGATACGAGCGAAGGACTTGTCACGTCCGAGGACTCCATCAGGTGTTTACCGTCGGACCGGTCACTCTGTCCTGCCAGTCAGACTGCTGCAGCGCGCTGCATCGGTCGGGATCAGCAGATTGGGCGTAGATCTCATACTGAGTCATAGCTAGGGTGTCGCCAGTACTGTCGATCCACTCGCTAAGTATACTTCGTTGCTATCCACCGATACTTTCAAAGAACGTCACGCCGGGAGGAACCATTTCGCGGTTGTGCCGGACACGCGATCTTCTTGGCCATTGGCATTGTCATTGGCCGCTTTGACTACTTCAAGTGCTTGCCTCTGGCCAGCGCTTCTCAGCCTTCCACTGGCGCTGGATAATGGCAAAGAAACGATAGAGCTAGACTAGGAGCTCGGGAGGCGCGACGAATAGACTGAGGCCGTGAGGGTGTGCGTGCACCGGCGGGAGTGCCTCATCTCTAGTTCTCGAGTTTGGATGGGCGTTTGATTTGTTCAGGACAACGATAAGCGTGGAGGAGAGCTGAGTGGTCGTCCAAGCCTTGGCCTTTGACCTGTTCGCGTCCGGACCAGCTGAGCCGCAGAGCGGTGTGCGTTCGCTGCTGAAGTGTGATATTCACTGGGAGCGCAACAGGTACAAGTGCACCAGGCTGCAGATTTCCTCCGCGGGACTTCCTGGCTGCGAGGTTGGCTCATTTCGTTGTCCCTTCAGCTTCGTTGCAGCTCGCTGACACAATGGCTACGCACGGACAGGGTGACATGGTGCGCGGTGTCATGGACGCCGTGGACAGCGACTGGCAGAAGATCCAGATCAAGGCGTTCACAAACTGGTTCAACGATCGGTTGAGAGGAAACCTGCAGAAGGCACCCGTTGTCGTAAGTCGCCGACAAAAATAGTTGAGTGTGTACATCTATTTATTTTATTTTATTCCAAGCAATACATATTTATACACCTGCCATTATCATGGTTATCCTATTTCACTGACTGGTGTAGCATCACCACAATCATGACCTTTAGTGCTTTACGTTTACTCAATGTTCGGGCATGCCCCCCCCCCTCAAACCAAGAGTGTGCAGCTTGTGACCTTTTCTGCATGGGCGTCTGTCATGTTATGAGTATTTCACCATGACGGACGTCATGGACACCCATGCAGAAAATTGAGGTCAACATATTATAAACCTTGCCAGCAGAACAGGAGGGTTTCCTGTACTCCAAGAGTGTCATTTCAATGAATAATGCAGATCTACGTGTGCATTGCCGCAATGCGATGCTGGATCCATTTCAAGCCTAGCATTTTTAAATGCTAGGACATTGACGCCAGGACACGATGCTTTCCTGACGTACTGTACAATCATGTTCATCAATATGCGCATGCGCCGTCTGCATGCTGTGTGCACACCGACTGGCAGGTCAATGACATCACGATAGACTTGTGCGACGGTATTCTGCTCTGCCAAATGGTGGAGGGCCTGCTGCGGCGGGCAGGCCGCGGTACCAAGTTCCGCTACAACAAGAAGCCCAAGCTAAAGCAGCATCGCCTGGAGAACCTGGGAATCGTCCTCAAAACGCTCAAGGATCAAAAGATCAAATTAGTGAATATCGGTAAGTTCATTGGTGTTCTTTGTACTGTTGTACAAGTGCAATGCTGGTCAGAGAAATCCAACCTCATGAATAAAGTAGCGCTGCGTTCGAGTGCACAGACCAGTACGTGTAGTGCTAGGGCTGCGTAGCGCCCGGCAACGCTATTTTATTCATGAGGTTGGATTTCTTTGGCCAGCACTGCATATAATGAAAATGGTGGTTGCGGCTTTGGTGATGATGTTCGTAAGAAAGGGTTTGCTCCCCACAGTGAGTGCGTTCGATTACACACTTGAATCGATTCATGAATCCATTCGCATGCATTCAAGTCGTTCGATTTCATGTCATGAGCCCTGGAATCGATTCGGAATCCATTCACTCTACTCACATGGGGTGATGTGAATAGCGCGAATCGATTCATGAATCGATTCGTGAATCGATTCGCGTGCATAATCGAACGCACTCACTGGAAGGGAAGTCGGCGGAATAGCGCGAGCTCCGGTGTGGGGAGCAAACCCCTTCTAGTTCTTAGCACTGTGAAATAGTGGATCAAAGTTTCGGTCATTGTGACCATCCTCAGGACGAAGTGGGCAAGGAAACAGGGCATCCTTTAAAAAAAATTCTGTTTGGGGACAAGGTGGGGGTAGGTGTGGGGGGGGGGGGGGGGGGGAGGGGCAAGAGAAATTGATAGCCAGCTCATTCACAGTTGCTACTTGTTGCACAGTTCTCATTAGAATTGCGCTCTCATGAGTCACAACTCAAAGACACTTCGATAAAAGACTGTATTATTACTTCTAACTTGAAAACAATCCCATGGTGGGAGAAAGCAACCCACTTGTCGCTACTCAAACAAAACAAGAACTCCGCCAAGGCAACAGAAGATACAGCATGCGTATCAGAAAGCAGGAGCATGCGCACTGCACGTTGAGAGTAGCTAGCTGCATCACTGCGCACGTGCCAGCGGCCTAAAGATGAAACAATGCATTATGAATAATTTATGATGTAATGCAAGACAGAACTGCCGGGCACCTTGCTATACTCATAAATCACCAGAACCACAACACAACCAAACTCTACTCATGGCAGGTCCCATCCTGAGCCGGTGTTCATGTTGGGTGCCTTGTCCCAGATTTTTACAGCCTCACAAATTTTCTTCGGGGCCTATCTGGCTCTGTGGTGGTGATGGCAGTTGCAAGTACACGTGCATCCACAAACTCGGTCCCTTCCAAAGGCTTCGATTTGAGTGCAATTTTGCAATTGATTAACATCGGACTGTACGGCATTTGTACTGTTCATGTGTGTATGTGTGTTTGTGCACACGTGTGTGTGTATGCGTGAACATGTGTGTGTGTGTGTGTGTGTGTGTGTGTGTGTGTGTGTGTGTGTGTGTGTGTGTGTGTGTGTGTTGTAACGGCTTGTAGGACCAGAAGATCTCATGGCCGGAAGCCTCAAACTCTGGCTGGGACTAATCTGGACGCTCATCGATGAGTTCCAGATCAAGACGGCCAAGGGCGGCTCAAGTAAGAAAGCTTTACTCGACTGGGTCAATGCCCAACTGCCGCCGAGTAAGCGTGTCACCAACTTCACCACCGACTGGAACGATGGCACTTGCCTGTGTACCCTTATTGATACGCTGCGACCGGGCCTGTGCCCGAACCACGCGTCCCTGAACCCGTCGTCGGGGCTGCAGAACTGCGATCTGGGCATGTCGCTGGCCGAGCAGCACCTCAGCGTGCCCAAGCTGCTGGACCCGGCCGACTTGAACAACCCGATCGTGGACCAGCTGAGCGTGATGACCTACATCAGCTACTTCACCGACACGCAGGTCAACGGACTGCTGCAGTGGATCCGTCAGCGACTGCCCGAGCAGGACATCCAGAACATCACCACCGACTGGAACAACGGGATACTTCTCTCGGCGCTGGTCGACTCGTTCGCACCGGGACTCATTCCGCATCATGACGCCCTGAGTCCCACCAGGGCGTTGGAGAACGTGAAGAATGCCATGAAGATAGCCAAAGAACGCCTAGGCATCAATAGTGATGGCATCACTGCCAACGAGATCACGAATCCCAAAGTGGACGAGCTGGCCATGTCGGCGTATCTGACTGTGTTTAAGGAGTGCACGCTGAAAGCGTCACCGGGCCAGTGCATTGCCGACGGACCCGGTCTGAAAGCGGTGCCGCTTAACGTGCCGGCCGAGTTCCGCGTCGACTGCTCGCAAGCCGGCCAAGGCGATTTGAAGATCGAGGCGAAGGGGCCAAGCTCCGACGCCAAGGTGAAGACCACGACTGGCGACGAGGACCAGAAAGATACTTACCAAGCCGTCTACACGCCCCAGGAGCTCGGTACGTACACCGTATCCGTGAAGTACGACAAGGAGCACATCCCTGACAGTCCGTTCAGTGTGCCCTGCGTAGACCCGTCTGCATGTCACGTGACTGGAAAGTCCCTGGGCGGACAGGGCAGCGTGGTCGGTGAGCCGCTGGAGTTCCAGGTGGACACGTCCGCGGCCGGCCCGGGCACGGTGGAGCCAACCCTGTTCGGACCCACCGGTATACAGCCTGTACAGCTGAAGGACAGCGGTAACGGGAAGAGCGTCAGGATGTCCTCCACACCAACGTCACCGGGCAGTTATTCTCTCGACCTGAAGCTGAGTGGGCTACCCATTCCCGGTTCACCGTTCGCCATTGCCGTGTCGGACCCGAGCAAGTGCCGGCTACTCACCAGTTTTCAGGACGGCCATCTCGGCAAGGTGGGAACTCCCATCGACGTCGCCGTGGACACCAGCAGGGCCGGCCCCGGCGTGCTGACGGCGGTCGCCACGGGAACGAGCCGCACGGTGCGCCTGGAGGCGCGGGACGGTGGCGACAGCACCAGCACGATAGCATTCGTACCAAGCGAGGCGGGCCAGCACAGTGTGGACATACTGTGGGACGGTCACTCGATTCCCGGCTGCCCGCTCGGCATTCCCGTCATCGACGTGTCTCTGTGCTGCTTCGAGGACCTGCCTAGCTACGCGCAAGTCGCACGGCCGCTAGCCCTGCGTCTGCTCACGCAACAAAGCATCAAGGCACCGCTGGTCGTCACGGCGCAGAACGAATCCGGTAGTCGCGTACCGTCGACAGTGAAAGCAGACGGCGCCGATGCGTACAAGATATCGCTGACTCCGGCGCAAGTGGGCACCATGGAGATTGACGCTACCTGGGCAGGTGATCAGGTGTCGCAGTGCCCGTTCGACGTGCAAGTGTGCGACGCGTCACGCTGCTCAGCCTACGGTCTCGGCCTAACGGAGGCAGCCAAGGTCGGGGAGCCAGTCACGTTCACCGTGCAAGCCAAGGACGCAGGAGAAGGCTCTCTCATCGTCAAGCCAGCCGGACCCAAGGCCGTCTACTCCGCCACGGTGATGAGCAACGGGGACGGCACGTACGAAGTGTCCTTCACGCCATGGGAAAAGGGCCCGCACACCATTGCGATCAGCTGGGGCATCCAGCAGATACCAAACTCTCCCTTCCCACTGGAAGTCACCGGGCGCATTCTGGCATCGCAGATCACGGCCAGTGGTGACGGACTTAAGGAAGCCACTGCACTGGCACCGGCCGAGTTTCAAGTCGTGTCCTCCATCCCGGCCGATCTCACTGAAGGTGATCTGCTAGCGGTGACCATTGAGGACGGCGCTGAGAAAGCGGCCGTGGACGTGGCAGACCTTGGCGAGGGACGCTGCGCCGTTACCTACGTGGCACCGAGCAGCGGGACGTACACGATCGCCGTCATGTTTGCCGGCGAACATACGTCGGGTTCGCCGCACATCGCCGTCGTGTCCTCGCGCCCAAACGCCAGCAGGTGCGTCGTCAACGGCGCCTGCTTCGGTGCCGACGCCAAACCTCTGGCCGGCGATCCGCTTGACTTCACCGTGGAAACCGGCGCGGCGGGCAAGAGTCGCTTGAACGTGGCAGGAACAGACATGGGTGGCAGGCCGTGCCGTGTGTTCATGGCTAACGATGACGATGATGTGTATTCGGTACGCGTGGACACAAAGAATCCCGGTGCGTACACCATTGCCGTCAAGTGGGCGGACGAGCACGTTCCCGGCTCGCCGTTCACCGTGGCAACCGGCAGTCGCATCACGGCGCAGAGCATGCATGTGAGTAGAGGCGACGGGTGCAGAGAGTACATTGTGTGTGCTGCAACACTACAACCAGTGTTGTTCTGCTTGGCTGCATGCGCTACTTAAATGCACATACACTAAAAACCTGTCAAAGCAACCGTTCTGATAGGGCGACAACTGTGATAGGGCGACCCCTACAGCTAGGACCAAGGGATACTTAATTCCAGTCAAATGACCCTGAGACTGAGTACATGTACATGTTGCAGTACAAACAGACTTGTCAACTCTTTGGTTTTGGATTGTCTGCTCTACTCATCTCCTGTGTGTGTGTGTGTGTGTGTGTGTGTACGTGTTTGCACGCGCACGCGCGTGTGTGTGTGTGTGTGTGTACATGTATGTGTGTGTGTACATGTGCATGTTTGTGTGTGTGTGCGCGCATGTACATGGGCGTGTGTTATTCGCTCCACCGTAGGTTGAGGGTCCCGGTTTGAAGAGTGGCAAGACCGGAGAGGAGGCAAGCTTCACCATTCACACGCCCAAAGCAGGGCTGATCGACACCGGAGAGCTCACTGTCCAAGTCTGTAGCAAGTTGGCGGGCGTGGAGCTGAAAGACTTGAAGATCCTGGACAACGACGGTGGCAAGTACAGCGTCACCTATAAGCCCCTTGTTGCCGAAGAACACGTAGTCACGGTACGCTTCGACGACCAGAATCTGCCAGGGTCTCCGTTTGTGGCGGTCATCACGGCACGGCCAATGGCAGATCAGTGCGTTGCCGCGGGAGACTGCCTTGAGAAGAACGTCATGTGCGTCATGGATGAGCCGCTGGAGTTTGAAATCAACGCAACCGCCGCGGGCAACGGGCGCCTGGTCGTCAAGGCCGAGGGTCCCGAAGGCGAGGTGCTGCGCGCCTTCCAGAGCGAGGAAGAGGAGGGCGTGTACTCGATCCGATTGGACACGTCGGCTGGCCTGGGAACGTACTCCGTGCAGTGTCTGTGGTCCGGTAGTCACATTCCCGGCTCTCCGTTCCAGCTGACCGTCGGCGAAAAGCTGACGGCGCAGATGGTGTCGGCTCACGGCGATGGGCTCCGCGAGGTGTACGCCATGAAGGAGGCGACGTTCTCCGTCTCGGCAAAGAAGCCTGATCTGTTCGACACGGGCGCGTTGAAGATGACCGTGGTCGGCGATAAAGGACACGTGGGCCTGGCCGTCGCGGACAATCAGGACGGAACATACGCGGTGACGTACATGGCACCGACGGATGGCCAGTACTCGGTCAGCATATTCCTGAATGGCGAGGACGTCCCCGGGTCGCCATTCAGCGTTATCGCCTACCTACCTCCTAAAGCCGACAGGTGCATGGCACGTGGCCATTGCTTGGAGCCGGACGGGAAGATGATGGTCGGCAAGTCGGCCGAGTTCACGGTGAACACGACCGACGCCGGACACGGCAAGATGTCGCTTAAAGCCACCGACCCTGGCGGCAAGAGCATTCGTACGTTCCTGTCGGACGACGGCGAGGGCATCTATACCGTTCGAATAGATCCGAAGGAGAGCGGCGCGTATAGAGTGGAGGTACGCTGGTCTGGAGAGCACATTCCCGGCTCGCCGTTCTCACTGACGGCAACGGATGGTCTTTCGCCGGGCACCATCACAGCGTCGGGGACGGGTTTGTCTCGCGCCTTCTCACTCATGCCCACCGCGTTCACCCTGGACGCACCCGAGGCAGGCCTGCTGGAACGCAACGATCTGACGGTGACCATCGACAGTGCCCTGCACGGCAAGCCGGCGGAGGTGGAGGTGCGCGACCTCGGCGACGGCACCTACTCCGTCAACTACATGGCGCCGGGCAACGGGGCGTTCCTGGCGTCCATCAAGTACCGCGGCGTGCACATCCCCGCCTCGCCCTTCAAGATCACCGTGTTCCCGCGGCCCAGCCCGGAGAAGTGCCGCGCGTTTGGCAAGTGCCTGGAGCCCAAGGTGCGCAACATCTGCGGCAAGCCGATAGACTTCAAGGTGGCAACTAGCGAGGCTGGCTACGGGCGGCTGGTTGTAAGAGCGCAGGATCCGCACGGCTCGCCGACGCCGGCGTTCGTTGCGGAGGAGGGAAAGAACCTCTACATCGTGCGGCTGGACGTCAAGGAGGCCGGCAAGTACATGATCAATGTGAAGTGGGGAAACACGCCGATACCCGGCTCGCCGTTCAAGCTGCGCGTTCACGTCGCCACCGACGCCAGCAAGGTGAAGGCCGACGGGCCGGGTCTGCGGTCGACGGGTGTGCCGGTCGGACGCGAGACGTCGTTCGTGCTCCGTACGCACGACGCCGGAATGGGTTCTCTGGTCGTACGCATGCACGGCATAAAGGACAACTTCAAGATCAAGCTGGAAAAGGACCGCGACGATTCGCGTCTCCTGCACGCCAAGTACACGCCGAAAGAAGTCGGAGACTACGAGATCACGATACTGTGGAGCGAAGTGCACATCCCCAACAGCCCATTCAAGGTACCCATTGTCGACCCACATGGCCGGCCAAAGGAGCGTGCCCGTGCCCAACAACCGGGTCCTGCCAAGAAGAAACTGGTCAAGGTGACGAAGACACAGCCGGGAATGACGTACGTGGACGACAGCGGACGCATGGTGCACACCGACGACCCGGCCATGATTGCAAGACTTGAAATGGAACAGCAGCATGCCGCCGCAATGGTACAGACGCGACAGGCGCCCGCGACGAAGAGAACTGTGGAAGAGAGACGTGTAGTGCGCCGGTCGCGCAACCTCAACGAGAGTCACGACATGGAAGCTGAGCAACGGGTGGAGAGGCGCCGATCTCGAGACATGGACATGGATGGAGATGTGGTGATCGGTGGAGGGCTACCACCGGCCAGACATCGTCGTGATCGCCAGGCTCAAGCACAGGCAGGCTCTAGTAGTGCTGCCGCCGCAGCCAGCAGGACTGCCAGGTCTCCACAGCGTGCGATTGCAGCAGCTGCGGCCGCACCGGAGTCACGGCGTGCACAGATGCCAGGCGGCAAAATGGCACAGCCGGAATACCACCGATCGCAGCTAGTTCAAAAGCCGTCGCAGCGCAGGGCATCGTTTACAGAGGACGATATCAGTCCAGAGTTTGACCACGTCTTTGCAGCAGGTGCACCAGTGGCGGCTCACAAGGCTTTCAAGAAGTCGGCGTCGGCTTCGAGTGTCGAGCAGTCATCATCCGGCTGGAAATCCGGCGGGAAAAAGAAGATGGCCAGAAAGCAATCAGAGTCTGCTGCGTTCGCCGTCCAACGTCAAGGCAGCATATCAACGAAAGCGAGAGGGACGGGCTTCATGCTCGACCCAACCAGTGGGTCCAAGCAGATCTTCACTGGCGAGCTCCGCGGTAACAGACAGTTCCGACTACCATCGTAGGAAGGGAGGGCTACAGTGAGTGATGGAGTGAGCGAGCGAGTGCGTGTTTTGACCTGGAACCTAAACTTGTCAATGGTCCATGGCTGTGTAAGCCGTGTAAACGGGCGAGCAAGCAACCGTCTCAGCAGCCAGCAACCGTCTCAGTTGCACACACCGCCCCAGATAGCAAACCATCTGTGCCCAGTTATCACCGAGGGTGGCATTGTGCCAGTGTAATATTGCCCTAGGCTACGCAGGCTGCAATGTTCTAAGCTCTGTAAGGTAGCGGTATACACAGCCGACGCGGATTGATCAAGGCCACTGGCCAGTTTAGCAAAGTGAACTAGAACTTACCGCTCCTGTTCTTAGTGCGCCGTATCGAAGTGTTCATCCCTCCCTACCATTACACCACCGTGTGTGCGTGTGTGTGTGTGTGTGCGTGTACGACTGTCGTGGGCATGTCAAACCCTGCATGCTACTTCACAACACCCACTAGGGCTGCAAACACTGACGAAAATGCCGCGATCCTTCTCACCCCGGAACAGACTGGAATTAGTGTACGTGTGTGTAAAAGCTTGTTAGCGACTAGTCAAGATAGGACGCGTGACATTTGCATTACTATTTCATTTCTTGCAATCATGAGACAATATCCAGGACAACCGCTAGGTGCTCGTGATCCCGTGCTAACCCATGACAGACAGTTTTGAGTGCAGAAGAGTATTTGCGTATACAATTTTGCACCAGATTGTGCAGCTTCATGCCAATATCATAATTATTGTTTCTGTGCTGACTCAGTTTGAGTTAGAATCTTAGTCGATAATGTCGAAAGTGAACTGATGCTTTTTATTTTATTCTATTTTTTCGTGTACACAGTCGGATTAGCAGTCAGATTTGTGGGAAAAAACTGGTTTGTGAAATTTCTGAGTCCTGATGATGGAATTTTTTAATTTTTTTTAAAAATATGTTAAAAATACAATAGATCATGAAAATTAATACTCCTGCATGAGCTGATGCTTGCTACCCTAGACTGTCAACATCATGCTTTAAAAACTATTCAATATACCAATAGAGTTCAGAACTAATACTTAGGTTGCACTCGTTATACAGTCCATTTCAAAACTATAGACGCGTAGGGTTTTGAAATATTTCAAATTTGGCTGGAACTTTTTGAGAATAGTTTTCGGAATGTTGCTCAGGACCGCTCCACAATTACTCTCATATAGTTTCTAAACGATTCGATAACAGACGCCCAATTTCAAGTGGAAAAATTTATGCACAAAGTGATCACAGATTTTATGTGGTATAGATGCTGGCATAACGGTTTTTGCCTAGGTACGCGTCTATAGTTTTGAAATGGACTGTAGTTGATTTGCTTCGGCTGGCAAGCGTGACTGTGCGGCGTATGCGGTGCATGTACAGTGAGACGACCGCTCGAGCCAAGGGACCTTCAAAACGTGGTCTGTGTTACCAGGCAGTCTCCTTATCCAGGGTCATTTGACTGGAGATAGCATGCCTTGGTCCTGGTTGCAGTGGTCTTCTAGGACAGGTGGTCGGTGACCTTATCCGAGTGGTCACCTTGACAGGCTTTACTGTGCAATGGCAGTACATGCATGAACTTGCTTTATACACAGTCAACTTCGCTAATAACGACAAATTGCGAATAACGACAGAATTTCCACGCCCAGAGCAAAGTCCATACTACCTGTATACAATAATGAGACGTCGGGTATAACGGCACTTCGCGACTAAGGACACTTTTCTGATGCCCGGCCGAGTGTCGTTATACACAACGTTTACTGTACTGTACTGGCAGAAACATTCACTGGTTGTGTAGTTCTCTTCAGGGTAGTGCCAGAGCCAGAGAAGAGAGCACGGCTGTAGTACCAGGATTTCAGGCGGTCTGACCAAGCGGGATAAGTGACCGCAAACGAGAGAGCTTGGAAGCTCAGGGCCCTACGCTATGCTTTTTTGCCTTGATGACCTAGACAAAAAAAGCATAGGGATGTTATAAATTCTTTAAAAAATTGCTTTTTTTTAAAGACCTAACCTGGGATTCGAACCCACACTATCGCGCCCTGCATGCATCCCCCGATACACTTCGCATACATACTAATTCTTCCAAGTTGCTTCACATTATGATCTTGCATTTGAAAGCCCTATTTGAATATGCATTGTGGCCAACCGTCTTTGATGGTACGGTACGGGATAGGTACGGGACAGGTACGATCGAGGGTAATACGACACCGTCTCCCCTACCGTACCATCAAACACAGCTGCACTGGCCACATACAGCTGCCCGCAATATTCAAATAGGGCTTTCAAACGCAAGATCATAACGTGAAGCAACTTGGAAGAATGGGTATGAATGCGAAGTGTATGGGGGAATGCATGTAGGGCGATAGTGCGGGTTCGAATCCCAGGATATGCCTGAAAAAATAGGAGAATTGAAAAATTCATAACATCCCTATGCTTTTTTTGCCGTCAGATACGGGATAGCGCCAGGCGTGACACAAACACACAAATACCAAATTAAAGCTGTGTGGACCCTGGCTAGCGCCAGACGTTACTGAAGTAACGTCTTCTGCATAGCTACGGGAATAAACATTATTTCAACCAACTGTCCAAGGATCGCCTGGTTTTAAACCCTTGATCTGCACGTACCAGCAAACGGTCAGACTATGCGCAGTATGGCCGGACTGAGTGCTACGGCTCTGGAGAGAGATTCCAAATCACAGTGGAACCATGGAAGGATGATTCAATCGACTATTGCCCCCCCCCCCCCCCGAATCCCCCACCTCCTGGGTGGACCAGGAAATGGTCCCACTTGTTCACTCATTACACTGCAGTAACTGGGTAAAGGAAAAGGTGTAGATGGACTGCATCTGCTGCTCCCCCTCCCCCCTCCCCCCCCCCCCCCCCCCCGGGATCCAAGTAGTTTACAGTCAGTAGTACATTGTTCTGTAGAATGCTGCTTATCCGAACGATAATTTAATAAATTTATCCAAAACAACTTGTTGTCAAAGGGGCAAATGTGAGATGTTCACTGTTTTCCCACTCGCAGGACCATAGCGTGGGAAGCTTTGGGAAGCGTGGGAAACAGACTTTGTTGTTAAAATCTATCATCACTTGTAATTTCCAGGAGCCGCAGATGGAGTTAAAGGAGCAATGATGAAAAACATGATGGAATGTGCATGATTTAGATGTGTGTGTGTGTGTGTGTGTGTCGTCACAAATGTGTGGCTGAACGGACCAAGCCGATTGCAGAGCAGCGAGGGACTTGCCACTGTGGGGATTGTGGGCGTTGGCTTTGCAGCAAAGGTGGTCTAGCCGTTCACCGATGTTCCGCTTCTCAGCCTCTGTACAGGGTGACTGCTGTGCTGTGTGTGCCCGCTGCTTTCGGACTACGTAAGGTCGCGGTCGTCACCGGTGCTCGAGGGCTTGTACCCGCCCGACTGCCCAGCAGCGTAATTCGTTCACTCATGTATGTGTGTGTTCTCGCCGGTTTCGTTTGCCCCACCGCCTCCGACGTCATCAGGCTGTGTGCTCCATCTTCCTCTCTCGTGCCCCTCCGGGGCCCACGTGACCCCTGTGACAGTGGCTCTACAGGACAGGTGTGTGTGTGTGTTAGAGCCTCAGCGTGGGGAAGCCATCGCTATCATTGCTACGGCAATGGGCGTTCAAGGTTCAAGGTGTGTCCACTCCCTAATCCAAACCGGTCCCCCTGAAGACGGTGCTGCTACGCCGCGACGGGTGCGGATAATCAGCTAGGGCTGCAACGGGTAGGGGTTTGGTCGGGTAACGAGTTCGGGGATTTCTATCCGGGTAGCACGGGTACCCTATCGGGTACTTTTTGACACAGTTTGCACTCAGTGTGCACTTGCGCTACATAGAAAGTGTACATTAAGCACGTAGCCGTGCTGGTTACATGCGCCGTTGCAAAAACACCGTACTCCAACTACCCGATCGGGCTCTCAGGAGCAAATTGCTACCCGTACTACCCGATCAAATTACGGGTAGTACGGGTACCCTAGGCTACAAGTCGTTGACACCCCTATAACCAGCACTGCGCTGTGTACTGTATTTACCTCAGTCCGCCAGTGAACTGAAAGTAATAACAGGTAATGAAATCCAGTCGTGTCCCTTCAGTACACACCTGGCGTTGGGCAGCCCGAGACCTGCGAACACTGGGCTGCGAAAAGGTGCAGGGCGCGAACTTGAGTGAAGTGCCTGGATTTCATTGAGCAGGACTGTGCTACAGAAGACTACAGTACAATGTGATGTCTGTACATTAGCACAGCCAGACCTCGCTTAACCGCACACATCCGTTTTCCACAAGAATATCCGGATAGTCGAGGGAACCGGATAATCGTACGCATGACATATGCTGCAAATCGGTATCCAACGATTCTATTCCGGATGGAGAGGGATCCGGATAAGCGAGGTCTGACTGTACATCAGGTGCAAGTATGTATTATACTGTGGTGTCGCGGATAGAAGCAGGACTTGAATAGAAGCCGATCTTTCGAAGCGCGCCGTGACACAGAAGCACGATTTGAACTGAAGCATACGTGCAAGTATGTACATGTACTTGCACACTACATGCATGACAATGAGCACTGTACATGATAGTGTAGACTGGAGAGGTAGACATAGAATTAGAAGCATGGTTTGAACCCCGGCTTATCGTATACGGCTGTAAGCACCTGCTTTCATACGCGACAGTACAGTACTTCGAAGTACTACAAGAATACAAACCAGGGAGTAGTAAAATACCCTGATGCACACACACACGCACACACACACGCACACACACGCACATACACACACACACACCGGTACATGTACACAGTGCACACTTGCAATAATACAGTATTAAACAGTTCTGCACGAAAACATTCCAATCAAAACATCTCGATCTACCGTCGCGCGTCCTTACCTAACTCCAGCACAATGTGCAGTAGCCTGATGTACTGCTTTGGTACGCGGCCGTCTTGACAGTTTATACTGAGCTTCCTACAACGTTACTTTACAATTGCAAGCCACTCGTACTCAGTTCTCATTTCTCTTCCAAATATAGCGCGTGGAAGCAGTGTCCGGATAGATGCCAAAACGCACACAGGACTGACTGAGTCTGAGGTCCGGACAGCGAAAGGATACTAGTACTAGTAGTACTAGTAGTACAGAAATCTGATGTACAGTAAAGATGTTTCATGACTACAACCAGGAATGCTTCAAATACACATTCCTTGGTTGATACCCAGGACTGCCCGTTCAGAATTCCTACACTACTACTAGTACTTGAGAACGGTGTTATTCACAACACCACTACTACTACTACTAGTACTAGTACTACATGCACTACGGTCTATGTCATGTATATCCGCCATGGCTTCTTCACGATAGCTCTACGAGTCTGAATGAAAATATTTCTTCTTCTTTTCGCAAACACGAAAAGTAAAAACAAAATCGACTTGACGTCATGACAGAGATCGCGTACGCGCGTGTGCACGTGAAGGATCTGCAGTGGAGTGACGTCACCCAGACTGTGATGCACACTCGTACTCGACGGTTTGATCTTCGAGCGCGGAGCTTTCCGCGCGCGCAAGAGCACCATGTACCATCAGTCCATCACCATGACTGCAGCAACCGAGACCGTGTTCTCCAAGGTCGTCACCTATCTCGGCATATAAATACTGAGCTTCAAAGCTCAGTTGGTCAGTGAAGTAGCATCGACGTTCATCATTCGAATCAATCATGTCTGGACGAGGAAAGGGAGGAAAGGGTCTTGGAAAGGGAGGCGCCAAGCGCCATCGCAAGATCCTTCGCGACAACATCCAGGGTATTACCAAGCCCGCCATTCGCCGTCTGGCTCGCCGTGGTGGTGTCAAGCGTATCTCTGGTCTTATCTACGAGGAGACCCGTGGTGTGCTCAAGGTCTTCCTTGAGAACGTCATCCGTGATGCCGTCACCTACACCGAGCACGCCAAGCGCAAGACTGTCACCGCCATGGATGTCGTCTATGCCTTGAAACGCCAGGGACGTACTCTGTACGGATTCGGCGGTTAAGCGCTGTACCCTTTCATCTAACCGGTCTCTCCAGACTTCTTCCCAACAAACCGGCTTTTTTCAAAGCCACCACTTTCAATCAAAAGAGAACTGTTTGTCTTCTGTTGTAGGGGACGGGTCACCGATCATCGCCTTGGGCTTTTGTGTGGCCTATAAAGTATAATGTTACTTGTGCAAATATTAATTAGCTGTGATCATGGTGATGTTCTTTCATCGTGTCCCCTAGGCCCTGCGCTTTCTTCTGATTTAAGTGGCTTGATGTTACGTAATAGCGATCCTTGGCGGCAAATTTGAATTTCCACCCATACTGTCAGGGTGTCGTAAAATACCGGTATTTTACGACTCCCTGCTTACTGTGCTAAGCCATAGGCATAATAATATTCGCACAGAGACATAAAATAAATGATGAACTGGAAGCTCTTGCCGAAAAATTTAAATACTATGAGGTACAGTCTCGCTGAAATGGTAGTTTCAATTAGAAGAACGATTCATTGCTTGAGTCGCGTGTAGTCCTAACGCAGCTCCACACCAGGTGGTTCTTTCTTTATCTCTCCACGATATGCTATATTCTGGGGACTAGTCGACTCAGTTGTGAAGCGCTTGCAAATGACTCACGACTTCAAACAGCGATCGATCGCGCTTGGTTCAAATACTTATTTCAATATTTTCTTGAGTGGGTCGTCGTTTTTATATTTCACTGATCGCGGAGAGCTAGCTACTTGTTGCATGTAGAGCCTGAACTAGTCCATCAGCCAGTGGTGCCAAAGTGAGTCCCCCGTTGCACTTACAAATCGAACACCTGGAACTGACATCAATCGACAGCAAAAGCATCACTGAATCCCAGTCCGTGCGCCAAGGGGTACTCAAGGGCTGATTTTATTTGCAACCGCGGGAAACGAAGTCACCAAGACGCCTTCATTTGAGGCCTTTGGAATTGGAGAATTTATTGAATTTAGGTATGGCTCTCGTCCCTTCTAGAGAACTAACCAAGACCCTGTGGGGGCAGAAGGAGACTTCTTTGGCTCCGTGAATACACTAGCTATGCGGTGGTCTAGTTAGTTTGAGTGTGTGGTTCGTATTCAAAGTGTTCCAAGCCGCAGTTCACTCGAAGGTCATCGTGGATACGTCTGCACTTGAAAATCAAGGCTGGAAAGGACTGCCTGGTGTGTCCGAACGGTATGTTTTGCACTGAAGGCATTTTTTGTATGAATTGTTGAAAGTGTCTACTTGTTCGAAATGCAAAAGAGATGGTCGTAGATCCTTGGCCCACAACGCCCCACTAAATAAACTATGACCTGTCGTGAAATTATGTGAAATTGATCAACACAATCATCCACAAATTATCCTATGCCAAAGTACTGCAAATGCAAATAATGGCATCCCTTTACCTAGGTCATGTTTGTAGGGCCTTATGTCACATCTTTGCATGATTTCCTCATGCAAATCGTGTGCCTAGCTTCGAAAACACATTGCGCTAAGGGCCGAATATATACCTGTGAATCAGAACAACAGCACTCACTATTGCTTTCATGAGTGGTAATGGTCAGCTGAAAGGAAACTTCTATCCATCAACTCATAAGTAAAGTAATGACTAATCTCCTTGCTGCGCATGTGGTTCCTTCGTATTTACATGTACCGTAAAGTACCGCCAGAGTGCCCCACCATCTCGTCCTTTCGGGGTCGTATTGTGGAGGTGGTCTCCTGTCTGTAGGTTATACGATACGAACTTTGTACTTCAGAAGTACACATATTGCACGCTCTGCAGACAATCCGTACCTTCGAGCGGAAACGAGCTCCACACAAAAACCTGCTTAGTGTGACCTTAGTACACTAAGTTGCTCACACCGTACGAACTTCGTTGCACTCTGCCATACGATTTTCCTTTCCCTGGCTGTAAAATCTGTCGCGGCAAAATATAGGTGGGGCGCTCTCGCGGTACTTTACGGTATGTGCGCCTCTCTGTGTTCGGTGAATGATTTTGAATATTTGCGCACGACTTCAGGATAGTGCACATTGTGTGGATGTACCTGCGTATGTAATCCTTTCATGATTTAAAAATTAGGAGCCGTGTTTCTCATCACCGTGGACAAGTAAATGTCGGCCAATTACGTAGCGTTTGGAGACTTGCACAAGTACAGTTGCGTGTCAATTATGCGGCACCCGCGGAATAAAATGAATATTCTGGACGACTGAAGCTACAAAGCCATCTTGTGTTAACAGATCAAAAAGACAGTACTTCGAAGTACCTGTATTTATCACTAGTATTACCCTGAGACAGTCGTGCTCATCTCTACAGACTGGCTTGTATTTAACTCAACGTAATGGCAACTTTCATGATGCTGACTGTCTACATTTACTTGAAGTAGGACTATAAATACTAAATATAAGGTCTATAAGCTGTCAGTGCGGTGCTGTTGGATACCCGACATGCCATGTGACTGACCGCCAGATAAACGACATGCGATTGTACCGGTCACAGTGTAGCTGGGTTTTCACGAAAAAATGAAACTTATACGATTGTGAGAAAAGTTCAGAAACCACACTTACACACACACACATGCGCGCGCACGCGCACACACACACCTGTCCTGTTCTGTTGAGCCACTACCACAACTTGGCACAAGGATCGCATCGGCCCCAAAGGGGCAGTAGAGCGAAAGTGAGAGGTGTTGGATTCGAGTTCACCTATCTCTACGGTGAACGCAACCTCGATCGAAAGTCATGCCAAACGGATTTATCTACCACACGCGCGCGTGCGCGTATACAAAACGGAGGAAGGATTACTTACTCTCCCTGTATGATGTATCTGTTGTATTCATGAACAATGTCATTGATGTTTTTCCATGCATGTTTTTGAATATGCGAGCATAACTTCCAACATCAAGCGCATTCTTGCTTCTCATCAGCATGTACAAGTTTATGTTGGGCAGTTATGTAGCGTTTGTTTTACCGGCTGCGTTTGTTGGTGCTTGCAGGTCATTGGCATGCTATCTGTTTCACAGAAGCTCGTGTAACAGGTTCACCGTACAGCTATGAATGCAATGTAGCGTGTCGAAGCCACTTCGGTATGACGTGATGCCTAATTTCCTGGTTGCACCAAAATTGCGAGTATGCAAGTGATCGTCAAGCCTGTCCCCTGTACAGTAGCCGTCTTGCCTTGTTACGCCTGGTTCTGACTCTGCGTTCTCGTATACTCCATGCAATGTTACAAGGAATACTGCTCCCTTCTCAAGTAATTCGTTGGCAGCAAAACGCTCGGCTATGCCCTGTAACTTTGCTGTGCGGTTTGTGCTTTGTCAATGTTGTGTACCAGTTCATGATCTGTGCTTGCTGGTCTGTTTGTTTTCTCTCGCACAATTGAGGCGCTGTAGCACAGTGTACATTGTCGATCATCCTGCCCAGGCTCTGATCTCACGTACCACAGTACGGTTTCTCTTGTTGCTCACTGTAATGTGCATGATACAAGCTCCTTGGTACTCCATCATCACCTGGTGCTGTTGCTGCCATTGTTGGACCCTGCTGATATCCTTCTCGCAATGCCCGAACGTTGTTCCAACAAATGCACAACTCGCTCTTAGTTGTCACATTCGGTTTGGTCTCGTTCCAGTCTTTCGAATTGAGTGAGTGCGTAAACTTGTGTGAAGTGGTGAAGCAAAAGCCGTGCGCCGGCAAACATTCAATGTCCGGGTGTAATGACGCACCAAGGCCCCGGGACTTGCGTCCAATTCCTGAGTGATTTTTGTGTGCCTAGCCTTTAGGTATCATACCATATTGGTTTGGTTCAACTGTTTTGGATGCCCACTGCAATACCATTCACTGTATTATGTGTGTATTATGTGTGTATGTTATCCAAGAAATCTCCCATATTTTTGGGTGGACAAACCTCGCCATAAGTCAGTAACCTGGCATTTTGCACCAACAGAACTCCTAGGATATCAGCGCCGTCTCAGTACCTGGGGATAGTTGTAAAGAAAAAGAAAAAATACCCTTGGCCCACAATGCCCCACTAAATAATCCGAAGGGTGTCGCGAAGACGACAATTTCCTTACCTTTCTTTCGTGAACGAAAAAAGACACTTCGCTTCGTCCGTTGCGCATAAAACGAAACATGAGGGTAGTGTTTATCAATTAGAATCGGTATCGTGCACGAAGGAATGGCGAAAAGGTACTATGCTCGAGCGCTGGTCGTCGTCTTGTTTGTCAATTTTGAGTCCCATTGAGAATTTTCTTCTCCAGACCCCTCAAATTTCCCGCGGTTGCAAATAAAAGTGCAACTTCTAGACGACTTTTTTGAATTTGGCGCACGGACTGAATCCGACCTGCCTACTTTCCCTGGCGAAACTCTTGCACTCCTTTTGCAGTGCGCCTTGGAAGTTCGACAAATTTCTTCTTCTTCATCAGCCATTACGAGGTTTTCCATCCGTTTTATCAGGACATCCAATGCGTCTTCAGTGAAAAACGTGGAGTTTTGTCAACGCTTGGTGTGGTTTTCCGTGGCCATCGACCTAAAATCGCGAAATAAATCGCCGTCGATTTGAGTAGAGGTGAGTTGGCTTGGAGCACGTACAGATTCAAAAAATATGTGTACATGCGCACCGGGAAGAAGATGAAGATGCTCACCATTTTCAAATAACTAATTCAAAAAACTACATGACTATTGTACTGCAATTGTTGTAGTTACTTGTTTGCAACTACAATGGTATCAAGTAGATAAGGCCAAAACAAAAAATAGGCTTGTTTCCGGTCGGCAACCCCTCAAAAAGGAGACTCGGTCGGCCGGAGTGAAACTTTTTTTGGATACTTTTTTTGGTTCCTCAATCGTTGTGGTATTGATGGACAAGAGCACCTACCCATGTACATTGTACATATTATAATGGCAAGGATCAATGTCAAAGTGACAAGTTAGTTGACTGACTCACTGTTCTTATACAGCATGTGGTGTATTCCTGTTTTCGTACATCCTGAGAAATCAAGCAAACAGTTCGATTCCTTCCAGCTCCGTTATTCTAGCTCGTATCGACCCCGAAGGTTTTCGAACCGACAGCTGAGAATCTCTGCTACCTTGTAGGTGTTTCGATTGTGGAATTCGGTTGAGATTTGACTGAGTTATGACTCGTTGAGTGCACTTGCACACATGGCATTGCCACCGTTTGTATACATTTGGGACCAAAAAAAAGTTTCAGAATTTGGGAAAAAGTGGCCCGGTCGGGCGACCGGAAACAAGGTCATTATTTGTTTTGGCCTAATCAAGCGAGGTACAGAGGGATTGATGGCTGATCAAAGCCCAAGGGACCAGCCCGAGGGCTTTGATCAGTCATCAAGCCCGACTGTACCTTGCTTGAATATGCTTCAGACGATCCCCAACAATTTTTTTGATTTTGAATTCAATCGCTTTTTTCTTTGGGTGATCTCGAGTGTGGTAGATAGTACTTCGAAGTAGTACAACTGTAACTGTACTACTACCTGGTTGCAACATGTTCAAAGCAGCCTTGCCTATATTTCAACTGTTTGCTGTCAGCATCCAGAGCCATGGCGTTTGCTAGTTGGTCGTAATGGAGAAGAGAACTGCAGGGCATTCACTCGATGTACAACATCCATCGCCGCAGATTCCTTACTTTTAGCTCTCCACGTTCCTTATTTTTCCAGGGATCAGGACCTTCCCGGGGTGATTCCATTCAGGGTGGAAGCGTAGATCACGTTTGCCAAACAGTAAAAACTATGCTTCAAACCTGCTTGACATGACTCGGGGTGCATACTTCGGAAACCCGAAGGTGGATGATGTTCAATACTAGCTCATTGTAATCTTCCTGAAGGTATGTATTCGGATGCTCAATTAAAGGGGAAGTATACCCTAAAATCAAATTTTCACCAGTTGTAGTCTTCTGGGTGCTGAGTCGAATGGTCTTGGTCCGAGGAAGCTGCGACGCTCCCTTCCTACTTGAATCCCAATCGAACTCGCGCACTTCCACCGAAACTGGGTGACTGCGCCCTACGAGATGGGGATTTGTATGCAAAATGTCACTAAAAGCGCCATTTCGTTCTTATAAAAGCACGGATGACCGCGATTGGCCCATATGTTGTAGTCTTTTGGACGCTGAGTCGACTGGTTTTGGTCCGAAAAGGCTGCGATGCAGCGTTCCTCCTTTATTCCCAATCGAACATGGTTGAAGAAGTGGTCACGTGCTCCTGGGTGCCCAAATCACCTGGTCACCGCGCCAGCAGGCGACAACTTTCACACCAAGGTTCAACTCGAGTTCAACTCGAGTGACAGGACTGCACCCAAAAAAGGTCAAACAGGCTAGTAAGTTGTACCCTGCCGGCACGGTGACCAGCTGACTGGTGTACGCAGGAGCACGTGACCGCTTGTTCAACCATGTTCGATTGGGAATAAAGGAGGAACGCTGCATCGCAGCCTTTTCGGACCAAAACCAGTCGACTCAGCGTCCAAAAGACTACAACATATGGACCAATCGCGGTCATCCGTGCTTTTATAAGAACGAAATGGCGCTTTTAGTGACATTTTGCATACAAATCCCCATCTAGTAGGGCGCAGTCACCCAGTTTCGGTGGAAGTGCGCGAGTTCGATTGGGATTCAAGTAGGAAGGGAGCGTCGCAGCTTCCTCGGACCAAGACCATTCGACTCAGCACCCAGAAGACTACAACTGGTGAAAATTTGATTTTAGGGTATACTTCCCCTTTAAATAGAACAGTGAAAGAGATGTGTAAAACACTCTACAAGTAGGCGAACAACAATTTTATTGTAATTTGAATCCAGGCACACGTGTAATACGGAAACTGCAATGGTTTACACTGCAAATCTTCTCGATTTGCAAGATTTTTCCCGTAATTCACAAAAATCTGAAAGTTCATTCCTGAAACGCACATGGCACTGATTGAAGATTGGGTTTAGGTCACAACAATGGCTGTCGATGAAATGCCAAAAATGGTCACTTTGTCGGCTTCCCCCTGCAGAGCGTGCAAGTCGTTTACTCTTTTTATTTGCGGATTCGGTGTACAGGGTACCTAAACTCCCCATTGAGGCCAAAATCAAGTATTCGATTTCTAAGTGCAACAGGGTGCTTGAATTTGACGACTTCTGAGTTCTTGGCTGATGGACTAAACGTGCCTGACACTACGTAGATCTACTGATATTTTTATTGAGTACATGTACCGTACTTGCACTTCTCATAATTTTGAGTGGGTCGTCGTACGAGTATAGTAGTCCTTTGAGTTCATGAAGCCAAGCAAGAATTATCTAGAACTCGAAGCTGAGGACCAGTTATTTCAAGTGGTCTCGACATAACGACTGGTGTTGACGCCAACTCAGAAAGGGCTTTGACTAACTGCCAAAAAAGTAGACGAGGAGCAGAGGTGTTTACATCGACAACGTAGGATGGTGATCTCAACATGCGACTTTGACTGCAGGGACGATCGCTGATCATCTAGGGATCAGTTGTGGTTGTCAAACGCTTGACTTTGTGGCCTTCGATATCGATGTGGATATGATGAGTTTATGCTCACCCTGCGTTCGTTATGTACCCCTGATGAGGTGTTGCCAACGCTGCTGTAATCGTCGTACATGTACTAGTACTTGATTCCACTATCTCAGAGAAAACATCAACCCAGTCGTTCTGGATAAAACTATTTCTAATCATCTGAGCTGTGCTGGCCAACACAAGAACCTGTACGCTGCACTGAACTACACGGTGCTTATGTTATCTTGTGCTTGATGGTCAATGGAACGAAGTCAACTGATCCTTACAAGTAGGTGCATGGAACTCAGCAGGACTAGAACAAGAAATGAAGTCCTACCTGAGTCAGAAATCAATCGCACGATATTCTGGAGTGGACAAGCAACTAAAGGGGAGCAAAGTCAGACTATGATCTTCACAGAAGTGCTTTTGTACATGTAGTAGGTCTGTTTTTGCTGATCACGGCTCATGTAGTGCAGTGTCTGCTCCAGAGCCAGGTGAGCTGGGTAATCGACCCGGTTGGGCGGCGCTTGGACCCGGTTGAAAATATAGTACCGACCCGGTTGGTACTTTACACGTTTGAACTTTGAAAGGACTGACTACATGGCTTGTAATATGTGTGACAAATTAGGCTTGTACAGACGCTGATAGATGGCTTCCAAAACTTTTAACTGTAGTCCATAACCATGACGACCACGGCACAATACAGTGAAAGAAGAGTCGGAGTACGAATTGCAACAATCAGGACTAGCCAACAGATGATTGTACACTGAAGACTTGCTACCACGAAACCTACGCACAACACTAACATTCTCACGGTGGTCGTCATGGTTATGGACTACAGTTAAAAGTTTTGGAAGCCATCTGTCAGCGTCTGTACAACTACAAGCCTAATTAATTTAATTGTGTGTACAGAAGGATAGTATAATTGGGTTGAAATTGTTCAAGTAAAGTGTCATGTTTTGTGCGGCCAAGCTTGGCCGTTAATTTTCTAGGTGTAATGTACTGCTGTTATTTGTTATCACTTTGTACCTTTCTCTTCTTTGTTCATTTTTCAGTTGCAAGTTTAGTGTTAGTACATGCATTCGTTATTGCTCTCGCCTTCATTGATAAAATTCACACTTGTAAATTTCACTGCTGTTGTTCTTAGTGTTATTTCACTAACTTAGATTTTCTATAATAGTTCAATTTTGTTGTCATTGTCCTTTAGTACAACGAAGATTCCTGATGAGTGTTGTACGAAAACTTGTTTGAATCCTCATTTTCTCTACACCATTTCTTCACATTTTCATCGTTTTATTGCACATTGTCTCCACAGTTTTACATTTACATGAATAAAGTGTACACAAATGTCGATCCAGCTTGTATTACTAATTGCGGTTATCAAAGAAGATACTACTTTTTTTAAATTTTAATGACTGTGTGCATGCATATGCGCAATTGCGCATGTAGACAGCTTGTACATGCACACAGTCAATATTTTAAATTATAAAAAAATTATCATCCGTTCATTTTTCAGTCAAAACCCGGACCCTGCTCGTCCTCCGGGAGGCCTCGAGCCTCGGCCCCATATTATGGCATATCATCATAAATTAATTATGGCTGTTAAGTCCCGGTTTCGCTCAGTCAGCAGAGCACGAGGATACAGTAATGGAGAATGGTTCTCATTTAGAATTGCACACTTATTCAGAGATAGAGAGAGAGAGAGAGAGTTCTCAGGTAATAATCAGAATCTAGCAGGCAACTAATATACATGTACAGGGAACTGATCTGCGGAGAACTGGTCTTAATCGGCAAGAAACTAATTCGTAGGAAACTAGAAAGGCAGCAGCTTTTATAGCGAAGGTAGAGAACTAAGGTTGGTAAGACAAGGATTACGAAATCATCCTTCTACAAGTTCTAGAATAGTGGAGAAGGTGAACCTAGATCATCATTGCTATACATGAAGATGAAGTGAGCATTGCGTAACATTAACATAATGACTAAGCGAGGTATTCTAGAAGGTGAGATATCTATATTATGCAATATTACTCATCGGGCACTTGGAAGGTATGGAACAGTCCGGAATCAACGACGTGATTGACTAACTAAAAGGAAGTGGTAGAAGTACTAGTTCTAGAAGTGCTGACAACAAGGTTACAAGCATGGGAGATCTAATTATAGCTTATGACGAGGCTTACATTTACGTGCATGTACTACTACTACTAGTAGTCGCAATCAAGTCATGTACATGTCATAATGTATGCATTTCTAGTATTTTCTACCCTAACATGGCCATGCCCAGACCGGAACTGTATAGCTGCTACCGCGTAGCCAGTGGTAGCTGATCTGATCTGTAGTAAGTACCACTTGTCTTTGTAGAGCGGATGTGCGACCACTCGCTTCCAGCTTGTACCGGTATACGTTTGCAGAGCAGGAATCGGGAGTCGTGAAAATGGCTACGACTCACTGAGCCGAGGCAGAGCACACGGGATCATGTCAGGTGGCCGCGAGTCGCAAGCGCTGCAAAGACAAAAAGGTGCAAGCCTGCAACCAAGCACCGAGGCGCTAGGACTAGGAGAAGTATGCTATGCAGGCCTCGCTGGTCGCTCTCCGGATATCAACACATAAGCGGAACTGTGCCGGAAAACCCTGGAAAAGAAACAATGCAAACATTTGCTGCTCCTCTTTGCCGCAAAAGTGCTTGAAGCACTGGCGCCTACAGTGGGTGGCCCATAGGTATAGCTGAGGTGTGAGGAGAATGATTCTAGTTGCAGCCAAACGCCGGTCTCTGGTACGCCTTCTGGATTCTGCGGTATTGCTGGCTAGCGTGCTGCTTCTGTCTGCACTTCTACTCCCAAGTGGTGACTGGGTTAGCGGGCACGGCAGGATCTCAACATCCTCCCACACGGAGAAAGGGTCGGGTGCGTGGGTGCCACAAGCTCTGATGCACGCTGCAGGCTTGGTGGGAAGCAACGTTTCAAATGGAGTAACTGTACACATGGAGAATGTGGTTGCATCATCGGAACAACACAGCGAGATGAAAGTGGTCGAGCCTGCTCGGCGGGATTCTCGCGGAGTCATCGCCGATATAGGACGCAATCGCCGCAGACGGCCCATGGGTCGCCAGTATGGTGTGAGGAGAATGATTCTAGTTGCAGCCAAACGCCGGTCTCTGGTACGCCTTCTGGCTTCTGCGGTATTGCTGGCTAGCGTGCTGCTTCTGTCTGCACTTCTACTCCCAAGTGGTGACTGGGTTAGCGGGCACGGCAGGATCTCAGCATCCTCCCACACGGAGAAAGGGTCGGGTGCGTGGGTGCCACAAGCTCTGATGCACGCTGCAGGCTTGGTGGGAAGCAACGTTTCAAATGGAGTAACACACATGGAGAATGTGGTTGTATCATCGGAACAACACAGCGAGATGAAAGTGGTCGAGCCTGCTCGGCGGGATTCTCGCGGAGTCATCGCCGATATAGGACGCAATCGCCGCAGACGGCCCATGGGTCGCCAGTATTCTACTGAAACCGAACTAGCCAAGGTGTCAGCAGTATGGGGATCTGAAGGTGCTACATACGCTTGGCCTCGATCTGTCATGCTGTATGCACAGTGCCGTCATCCCGGCAAAGTGGCCGTTTGCCGCAAGCCGCGCAAGCAGTTTCTCGTGCTCCTCTGGGACGAGCGCTACTGGAGCTTTGCGAACGACCACCCCTTCTCCGTGCGTCCCCCCAGCGACGGCTTGTTGCATTTCGGCTGCTGTGACGGCGTGGACATGGTGTACACGACAGACAGAACTAAGCTGGCGGTTGCCGACATTGTGGACTTCCACCCACGCTACAACAAACACATGCCCAAGAGAGGACACCCGCACCAAGTGTTCATGATGAGCAGTGCTGAGCCGCCATACCTGGTCGGCTTCCGGCCGCTGCTCATGAAAGACGTGAACTTGCTGAGGTCGTTTTCGCGCAGCAGCGACATACAGCAGTCTCTCACTGAGCCCGGTGAATGCTTCTGCAAGAAGTATGTCCAGCCGCTGAAGGTCCCTTTTGAGAAAAGGCACCGCGTGCGGGTGTCTGCGCTCATCAGCAACTGCATTTACCATGGCGCCGTCGCCCGTAAGAAACTGCTCCAGTACTTGATGAGCACGATCGAGGTGCACAGCATGGGCGGCTGTTTTCATAACCACGCCATGCCAACTGGGCAGAGTGTCAACATCGTGCTGGGCCAGTACTTGTTCAACTTTGCCGTGGAGAACTCTATCTGCCTGGACTACATCACGGAGAAGTTCCACCGGGCGCTGATCGCAGGCACAGTACCCATAGTACTGACCCTGGATAACATGCCCGGGTATGAGTTTGTGGCACCCACGGAACACTCCTACGTGGATCTATCTCGATACACAAGCATACAGGATGCTGTTAGGTTCATCAACGACTCGTCGTCTTCGGCGCAGGCGTACTACCGGCACCATAGTTACCGCGGTGAACCGATCAACAGCACGCTGCTATCGCACACGTTCAGAACTAGACTGTGCGCTGCCAATGAGGATGATCTGAGCGAGTGGTGCAACATTGTCAAGCGCATGGAAACCCGGAAAGGGCGCGAGCAGATCCTGCAGAAGACGTACGCCAACTACTACCGCGAAACGATACCGCGCCAGTGCGCATCGCGGGGCTCCATGGCCAGACATGTGCCGAATACGGGCGCTGATGGTCGTCTGCTCTGCTGGGTTGCTGTTGCCATTGTGTTGCTTGGGTCGTTGACGTGCCTTGCCTGTAGAGCTAACACTGTTGATCAGAACAATGAAGACTGATCGTTGGTGAAGGTGGTCTATCGTTTGTGAACATATCGTGGCAACCAGTGAGTAATAGCTGTGTTTCTAATTGCTAGATCAAGACATTTTCGTGCGCTTCTTAATTTCACATTGCGGAGCCGCATCAAGTTGACTAGGACACATACTAAACCGAGTTTACCAAGTACATGTATGTACGGAAGGTACCGGTACGATGGCCCGGTTTGCACGTACGAAAACTGATGTGCAGGTGAACAGGTTTTTATAGATGAAATCATGCCAAAGCTATTGTGAAAGAATTCTCACAGTCTTGATTTACAGCACTGGTTTAAGGTGTGCATCACACTCCGCAGCGCCATACCGATAGCTGGAACAGTGGAAGCTGGATAATTCTTCTGGCTTTTGCCAGCACTTGAGCTTGATTCACCGAACTTGATTTTTGAGGTATTGCTTGTCTGCAGCCTGCAGGCACAGATATTAGTCAGGTTGAATGGCTTGCAGTAACTGTTGTTAATTGTAAAATTTTGTCAGTGTGGCACACGTGGAAGATTGATATTCCAGTATCCTTCCTGTGCATGTATGCATGCCGACCCAGGCCGCGGCGTAGCCTGCATGGGGTACGGGGGGGGGGGGGGGGGGGCATGTGCACCCCCCTAAAAATGTCGACCTAGGTTCAGCATGCACATAATGACCACGAATGACATGCACCAGCCATCCCACGCATATGCAGCCGTGCACCCCCCCCCCCCCCCCCCCCCCCAAAGGGGGACCAGCTACGCCCCTGCGATCGGCCTTGTAAGCACCGTAGTGTATGTCTACTAGTCCTCTCAGTAGGGACTCGGGGTAAGACCTCTCAGTAGGGACTCGGGTTTAGACCCACGTACAGGCGTTTTCTGATTCACGACATACCGTGTATGGAGCGGAACGTGGGTGAAAATCAGAATGGAGCGCATTGTGCGAGCTGTGAGGGAGCTGAAGAAGTTTCCGAAGCACGAAATCAAAATATTCGATGAGCTTCGAAGCTTCGTCTTTGACCAAGTTTGGGCCTTTCGCTTCATGCTTTTGTTTGTTCCGTGTGACTAAACACAACATTGCGAACGTGGGTCCATTGCATGAACTTTACGTGTATCACCCACGTTCCCGTATTCGTTACGTGGGACTAAACCTCCTCAGTAACAATCAGCAGTTCGGTGCTGGTCGCGGTCCTGCTACCTCCATGCTATCTGCACTGTCAGCCCTTGAACCCAAAGTTTTTTTAACCTGATTTTTATTCTACAGGTTTGATTGTGCCTATAAGGGCATGTTCGATTGGTAGGATCGATTCAGGATCCGGATCCGCCACTGGATTCACTCCCTTTTGATTGGTCGGATCCGGATCCGGTCAACCCACCTAGCTCGGGGCCAGCAGGGTTGACCGGATCCAAATGTGACCTTTGTGGGTATATGGCGGGTAAAAATCATTTTTTGTACACATTGTGGTACGCACACACACGTGGACCGAGATACTCCTGAGTCTTGTTGACTTTTCGTACGACGCATGTGCGTGCGATGAGTACGACTTTCACCCTTTTGGGTGACCTCAGGTGGATAGTTGCTTCATAACTCGTTTCCATGTGATTTCTATTGTAAAAATACCTGGTATTTAATATCAAAAACGAAATAATTTCGTTATGGGGTGGGAGGGGGCAGGGTTGACCAATTTCGTTTCAGAAAACATTGATACATGTACACGGCCATAGGAGCAGTGACACACTTGCGACTTTTGCATGTATTGTGCCAACATTGTTTACGTTCTTAGGGGGAGGGGGGTTGGGTCCAAACTAAATAATTTGTTTGGAGAAAAAAGTTGGACATTCACGGACGGCCCCTAATATGTGTTACTTCCTACACAGCACACTTGGTCAGATGAAAGAAAAGTACTTAGAAGTACATGTATCACCAGTAAATATGCACCGTTCAATAAAAAAACTTTATGAACAATGAGCCCTCTGCAACATGCTTTTTATGCCTGAAAGTTAAAAAAGATGTTAAAAAAGCAGATTAATAATCAGGTCAAGCAGATAAATACTCAGGTCAAGTTGGCATAATAATAATTATTATGATCGCTGGTCAGAGCGGGGCATGCAGCAACAGTAAGCCAGGTAGAGAGCAGTACTGCCAGCAGGGAGTAGAGGCATAATGAGAAGTATAAAAAGGTTTAAAAAAACCTGAAACTGATGATTGATTAAAAACGTTAAAACAGTGCACATTGCAATCAAGAACACCGGTGATGTTGTCTAGCTCTCAACTTTGGCATCGACAGGAGCCAAGGGGCTGCGGGGTGGGGGGGGGGGGGAACAGTGGGCACTATTGCGGATGGGGTGCGTGTGTGGTGTGTGAGGCTCATCCGACCACAAGTCTCGGAGTCAGAGTCACACAAACGCAATAGTGAGTAACTAACTTGATAAGAGAGAGAGAGAGAGAGAGAGAGAGAGAGTGTGTGTGAGGGGGGGGGGGGGGCAGATAAGATAAAACATTGGGGTGATTCAGCCACAGGGTGAAATGTAACATAGTGAGATGTAGCTTGGAGCGACAGCACCTCAAACAAACACAGTCCGTGTCACTTCTCAGTTATTCACTATCCGCCACGGCCAATCCGGCAAACGGATTGCGGGTGGCTGGAGCGGCTGCGGCCGCACGTGACGCTACCCCACGACAGGAACTATCATCTGCTGACGATGCGGCAGCACTGGAGTTGCTGCTAGCACTAAGCTGTGCCAACAGGTCAAGGCTCAACTCATCATGGTCCAAGCCCTCCAGTTGGACTGCAACAACGCTCTTTAGTTCGGGATGGCACATCCATTTCGCTAAGTCTTCAGTGTATTTCGGCGGTCGTACGAACAGTGCTATTCTGCCGTCTGTCGCCAGGCGCAGAATATGATTCGCGGCACGGTAGGTATCGGGACGGGCGCCCTTTGCGGTACGGAAACCCCTTTCCTCTGCCCACTTCTCGCAGACGTCCCACGCGGACCAGGTGTGGCCGTCGCAACGAAGTGAGCTTGAACTAGCGTGGCCGTTGCACGGCGGGTTTGTTGAACTGTCGATGCATGCATCGGATTGTGGAGGAACAGTCGGGCAGGTTTCACTTGTTTTCTTGGCCAGTCCCAGTCGGTACAGCAAATTACATCCCAGGCGCGCCGCCAGATAGCCGACGGATGTATATGGCTCACGCACTTGGGAAATAGGGTACATTCCGGACAGGATCTGTAGCTGTTTTTCAACACGTGATGGAAAGACTAGGCCAGGTGAGTCGCACAGGCGGATGTGCGGTGTGAGGAAGTGCGTCTGAAAGTGCTTCGTGTGGCCGGGTGTGCGTGACGCACTTACAACTTTCTTGCCAATCAGGCTATTGAGAATAGAGGACTTACCCACGTTGGGATGGCCGACGAGACCTATTGTAATGAAGGACGGCGGTGAGGATGCTGTTGCCGCTGCCGTAGCTTCATGGCCACCGTTGGTACCGTTGCTGGAGTATGCGGTATGCTTACGACGCCGGCTATGACGTACTATCTCTTCGTGCACTGATGCTGCTGTTATTCCAGCATCGTGGCACACTTCAAACTTTGAGAGTTTATCCGTCCAACCGGATAGCATACTGTGATCGGCCACCACATTGGCCAGGGCGCGGATCAGCTGACGGGCACCTTGTACGCATATCATGCGCCGCTTAGCGCCGCACCGGGCGTGCGACATCAGACCCTTGGCGTCGGAGCGCTGGCTGCTGCTCTGGTTCCCCGGGCGTGCCGTGTAGAGGACGACGTGAAGTTGCGGGAACAGTCCATAGAAGTACTCGCGCCACGCCAGTACCACACTCGCCGGCACCAAGTCTATCTTGTTCAGCACTAGCACGAGCGTTTTGTTCAGTTCATGTACGACGTGGCGGTACAGGGACGGTGGGAAGTGCAGGATGGGATGGCGTGCATCGGCGATAACCACTATTACATTCGACATCTCCAGCACACGCCACAGCTGCCGCCAAGTCTCCAGGTTCCGCTCAAAGTAGCTTAGCGGATGGCCGTGTGTATCAGCCATGAGCCGGTCAATGTACTCATTGAAGTAGCGCTGCTCCTTAGCTTCCAGCTGCTGCTTGCTCAGGCTGTATTGCCAGGTGGGACGAACAGGCATGTCGATGTGCTCCATACTTCCATAGATATCTTCATAGGACACTTCCAAGTCTTTTTCTGCCAGGGTTTGCAATGGCCGACGCGACTCCCGCTTGCGCTCCTCAATTTCGCTGGCACTTTCTTGGCCAAACATCAGTTTGTATCTGTCTTGACGCCTTGTCTCAGCCACGGCATCGCCTACTTCGAACTTGGGCTCAAATTTATCTACGATCTTTGCACTTTCAGACGTGACCAGTGTTTCTTCATCTTTATCTGAGTCAGATAGCGAGTCTAAGCGTATCTCCAGCTTCTCTTTGGCAGGCTCCTCGTCGTCCTCCCGGAATCGCTGCACATCTCGTTTTCGCTGGAGCTGGGCTCTCTTCTGCTTGCCACTGAACGGTTTTCGACGACTGTGTTGAGGCATTTTCAACAATGTCAATAAATGCAGATTGCCTGGAAAGCACCACAATCCACCAGAACTGGAGGCGAGAATCCAGAAAGCAAAATTCTTCTTTCACCTTGAACCGACAGTATAGCACTCTGTCTCCTGGTTCTAGAGGTCTGCGTTCAGAAACAAGGAGTTATAAAACACAACTACCAGATTGAAACGCACTCAATATCGCGATTGAAAACTGAATCAAAGCTTTTATTGTTGCTTGAGCTTTTATGCTTTTCTCGAGACGCCTACTCGACGCCAAGCATAGCCCTAGCCTAGGCCCTAGCGCCACGCGTTACGTCACAACCGTTGCTTGCCCGTACATGTGCCTGGAAGAGGTTTCAGCATGTATCGCCACGTGCACTTGTCCACGTCATAGGGCTTGAAAGTGATGACGTCAAAACGGCCAGGGGCCAGGGGCAGGGCCCAGGGAGTAGTAAGTTGACATCAGATTTCTATTTTTGTATCCACGAAGGTGTGACTTTGCTATTGCCTAAGTATGTGGGTGCGTAGCAACCCACTCATCATGTCGCATGCAGGTACTACTACTAGTACTAGGTGTGACTTTTATTTCGCCACCAGTTGTAACCAGGGAGTACTCTAGTACAATATGATTGTACTACTCCCTGGTTGTAACCCCGCCCCCAGTAGCCAAATCAGTCAGTTTCACTGGCTACATCACCATGCTGTGGGTAAGACCGCTTGAAATGTGCTTGGATCCAGGGAGTAGTACAATACTATAATTATCTTTACTTATAAAGAAGAGGCACCTGTGACGTGTGTGTGTGTGTGTGTGTGTGTGGTGTGTGTGTGTGTGTGTGTGTGTGTGTGTGTGTGTGTGTGTGTGTGTGTGTGTCACGCTCCTTATAAAGAAGAGGCGCCTGTGACGTGTGTGTTTGTGTCACGCTGCCCTGAGCACGCGAAGCGTGCGAACAGTGTAGCACAGTGTAGCTAGCTAGCTAGCGGCCGCAGAAGCACTGACTGAGCACGCGAAGCGTGCGAATCGTGTAGCTAGCGGAAGCAGCCACAGCTAGCTGACAGAAGCACTGAGCACGCGAAGCGTTCGAATCGTGTAGCCACCACCACGTGCTGAGCACGCGAAGCGTGCGAACAGTGTAGGTACAGGTGGTATACCATGGTATACCGGTAGCGCTATAGCGCTGACACGATCAGTACGAGCAAGAGTACATAACCCCCGGTCAACCACAGGTTCCGGATTCGTCTGATAATCCGTGTACAGTGCGCATTGCATCATCAAAATGACGTCAACTTGAAATTCTGTCGGGACAGCACCCATACTATAGTGGAGTTGCACACTCTGGGGGGTTATGTACTCTTGGTACGAGTAGCAGTAACAGCCGCGCGCAGAAGCACTGAGCACGCAAAGCGTGCGAATCATGTAGCCACCTAGCCTAGGCCATAGCCTAGGTAGCACTAGCAGCCGCACAAGCGCTGCGGACCACGTGAACCGTTCTCTGCAAATAGAAACATCTGCAACAAAAGGATACAAAAGATCTGCACTGACTGCACTTTGCAATTGCATCTGATCTGCAGTGAAGAGCGCATCACACTTTTGTTCGTAAGTTTATGAATTTTTTGAGCCGCTTCATCCGCCACCAGGTGATGGACAACCCTGACCAGCCTCCCGAAGGCGTAACAGACGTCCCTCCTTCTCCTTCCAACCATGAAGAACCTTCCTCACCAGGACTTCAGCGGTCTGGCCACCACCACGTGCTGAGCAAGTGTGCTGTTCATGTACTTGCTTCACCCGCATGCCACATTCGGCCAGGCAACGCTGGCCTGGGGTGCTGCTAGTACAAGATAGAAATGATCGATGGAGGAAAGAAAAGAGCCATACGACTAAGCAAGAACACTCTGCTACGAAATTTAGAGATAATGGAACGGATGTGCGCACGGAAATCTAGGGAGGGGGTTAATATGACTCCAAGATGGCGATGAGCCTCAGGTCGACATAGGCTAGCTTCATTCATCTGAACAGTTCGCTCTGCTGCCGTGGTCCTGCCTGAGTGGAATACAATATGGGCACACTTACTTACGTTAAAACTTGATCCAGAATGTTCAGCCCAAGAGATACACGCTGCTAGATCAGTCTCAATCTGAGACAAGTGAGCCGTAATCGTGGTAGTCGGTGGGGAAATGCACAGAATGTTGGAGTCATCCGCAAAAAGGCTCAATGTGTTGGTAGTCACTGTTTGGGTACTGTCTATCAGTATGTTAAATAGGAGTGGGCCTAGATGAGAACCCTGCGGCACTCCTGCCCCCAACGGATGTAGGGATGAAACTTGATCACCAATTTGAACATGAATAGAGCGTCCACAGACAAAGGATCCGAGCCATTTGACTGAAGATGATGAGCAGAATGAGGAGAAAAGATGCAACAGGACAGAATGGCTGGCTTTATCGAATGCCTGATAAGTCCAGGTAGAGTCCGTCGCACAAAGCTTTGCTGTCAAAGGCTCTTCTTATTGAGGACGTCATTTGGACTAGTTGGTCAGTGGTAGACCGCTGCCGGCGAAACCCGAACTGGTGCGTACGGAGGAGGGTATTGGCCTCCACAAATGTAGTCATTTGGTTGCTCATCATGCTTTCGAACACCTTCGCAACTCCGTGGAGCAGGGAAATGGGGCGATAAGAGCCAGGACTGCCTTTGTTTCCTGAACTTTTGTATACTGGGATAACAATAGAGATTTTCCAATCTGATGGAACCATGCCAGAGGTGATACTGAGGTTAAATATAGCTGTTAGTGAATCAGAAATACTGGGAGCTGTTTCTCGAAGGATTCGATTAGGGAGGGGTCTAGACGTGCGTTTGTACCGGGGAAGGTGTGATAGGGTCCAAAGAACACTAGTGGTACTCAATTGCTGAAATTCGAAGGGCTCGACAAACCGTGACTGTGGGTAGCTGTGTGCAGTCCGGGGGGGGGGGGGGGGGGGGGGCTTAGAAGGGGATGAAGAATACTGAGAGAATAGGCGAGCTAGCAAGTCAGCCTTCTCTAGATCACTTGTAGCCGTCAAACTATCATCTGACAGATCAGGAATCGGAGCCCGAGGCTTAGTAAGATTGCATAGTTGTTTGGCTCTCTGCCACCACTTGTGTCCGCCGCGGTTTTCCTCAAGACTGGCCGACATGTTAGCGTAAAAACGTCGCTTTGCTTTGCGAATTTCGGCCGTGAACGCATTCCTTGCAAGGCGGTAGACTACCCAGTCCGTTGCTCTGCCAGATCGTTTAGCTATAGTAAAAGGCGGTCACGGTGTCGACGGAGACGGTGGTGTTTTGCACAGAACCAATGGCGGTTGTTGCGAGGATGGAGGGCTTGTCTCTGCGGTACATACTGCTTTACCACTTCTTCAACTTTGTGAGACCACTTTAACCAAGCCTCTTCGATACTAGTCGATGTTGTGACTGATTTGAGTAGGTTAAGATTGGCAATGGCATGATTGAGTTCATTCCAGTCTACCTTTGAATAATTGTATATCAACGCCGAGGACCTAGGGCTCGCTGCGTGCTTCTGTTTCGAGTTATACTCAAAATCTACAATCACAGGGCAGTGGTCTGATACTGGAGGTAGTACCCACTGGTTCCTAGCTGCTGTTGGGTTAGTAGTAGTTGCGACAAGGTCCAGAAGAGAAGAGGTTTGTCCAGCTACTGAGTATCGAGTGAGCTGGCGAACCAGTTGTGTAAGGTTTGTGGAGTCAAACACATTGGAAAGATGTGCTCCAGCAGGGCTATTGGGATCAGATGGTAGCCAGCGGCTGAGCCGCGCATTGAAGTCACCAATTACTATAGCTGTCGCTGCGGGGTCTTGAACTAGCTCGATGCATGCCTGCAGATTGCGGGAAAAGTGGGCAGGGTCCTGCCATGGGGGTCTATAGCAACAGAAGAGAATGGTACGACTGCGGCCAGTGAACAGTTCAACACAAATCATTTCTACACTGGGATCGCTAGGCTGCAGGTCTGGCCGGTGGGGATAACGTACAGATGGGTGGATGAGGAAGGCAACGCCTCCCCCGCGACGGGTTGTACCCTGGCTTCGGTCCTTACGGAGGATGTGGTGATGCGGGGATGGTAGAAGAAGGGCATCAGGTACGTGTTGTTGGAGCCAGGTTTCGGTTATACCTAGTACGTGCAAGTGGGCTGTAGCGAATAAATTAGAGACTTCTTCAGCTTTAGAAAGCCAACTGCATGTATTAAGAGTTGCAATGCGTATTTGGGAATGGGGCTTTATATTGGGGAGGAGAGATGAAAAGTTAAATGCTTGTGCGTTGACAGTAAATGGCGCAGCGAGAGGGTTTAGGACCGTCACTGGTCTGTGTGGGGGCATGCGTGCGGGGTCTGAGGGCGGGTCGTCGCTACTTCTTCTCAACTAGTTACTTGCTACCAGGGAGTAGTACAATACCGGTATTGTACTACTCCCTGCTTGGGACCGCCGGACCGGTGGTATCTATTCGCAATAACGGGAGTTCTTCTTATCCATATTTTTATACCCAGTGAATACACAGTGATTTATCCAATGAACACTAGTTCTTCTAAAGCGAAAGTTTGTCTTATCCGTGTTCTTCTTAAAGGGGAAGTCCGGTGAAAAATTTAAATTTCAGGGTTGGTAGAGTTTCGGGTGCTGAGTCGAATGGTGTTGGTCCCACGTGTCTCGGACAAAGCGTTCTCGAGATATTTCCGTTTGAAAAACTGAGTTTCGGGGGCTGCGCCATGACGTCATGCGGCCGCGCCACACCCTCCGCAACGTCATAGCGTGCAGCTAGGTCAAAAGGAGTGCGTGAAAGCAATAGTGTCAGTGCTATTTCAAATGATTTGGCGACTGAGAATAGGTGGTGCAAGCCACCCTGAAGACCTAACTCCTTGTGAGAGTGAGGATGCAGCCATGGCTGACTGAAGTTTGGTCTGGGGCTGAGAACCTCGGTATTCAGCTGAAGAAATGGCCGCGCGGGCCGGTCAAGAGTGAGCGCTACTGAGTTTCCGACTGATGAAGAAGCAGCAGCTATTGCAGACGAGGCTGATATAATTATCAGATCGCTGGAGAGCAGGGTCGCCAAAATGGAGAAGAGTGATGCGAGTGCTCTAAATGTTGTTCCATACCGATTCACTTAGACTCCAGTAGCCTGCCACATGGTGATGTTTTGGTGCGAACTTGGCATATTTCGGACTACTCAATTGGAGAACACTGCAGGCT